TAGACAGTCATTACAAGACCTACTACAGATCAATAGCCCTCATAAACGTCAACAAAGAAATACTTAGGGGCCAGGTGTGGTGGGTCATGCCTGTAATCCTAGCACTCTGGGAGGCCGAGGCAGGAGGATCGCTCAAGGTCAGGAGTTGGAAACCAGCCTGAGCAAGAGCGAGACCCCGTCTCTACTAAAAATAGAAACAAATTAATTGGCCAACTAAAAATATATATAGAAAAAATTAGCCTGGCATGGTGGCACATGCCTGTAGTCCCAGCTACTCGGGAGGCTAACACAGAAGGATCGATTGAGTCCAGTAGTCTGAGGTTGCTGTGAGCTAGGCTGACGCCACGGCTCTCTAGCCCAGGCAACACAGTAAGACTCTGTCTCAAAAAAAATACTTAAGAAAACTTTAGCAAATCAAATACAGCAATATGTAACAAAGATAATATATCATGACCAATTGCAAAGATAGTTTAACATCATGACCAGCAATGCAAAGATAGTTTATCATCTGAAATCAATGTAATTCACCATATCAACAAACTAAAAAAGAAAAACCATATGATCATCTCAACAGACCAGAACAGAATCATTTACCTGCAGTATGTACTCTTTTTTTGGTCTGGCTTTTTTCAGTCAGCATAATTATTATGAGATTCATCTCTCCATTGCTTTTTATTACTGAGTACCATTCCTTTGTATAAAAATGTAACAACTATCTATCCATTGCTGATGGAAATCTGGTCACTGCCAGTTTTGAGGTGTTACAAATAAAGCTGCTATGAGCATTTGACTATAAGTCTTGAATATCTTTGGGGTAAATACTTAGGAGTGGAATGGCTAGATCATATGTTTTACTTTTTAAGAAACTGACAAACTGTTTTTCAAAGTTGTTTTATCCTTGTACATCCCCACTATTAGTGCATGAGAGTTCCTATTATTTCACATCCTCAACAGCAGGCAGTTTTTTTCATCTCAGCCATCTCATTAGATATGTAATGTATCTCATTGTGGTTTTAACTTTCATTTCCCTAAAAATTAATGATGCCGAGCATCTCTTTGCTATTTGTTATCTGTATATCTTTTTATTATTATTATTTTTTGGTGAATTAACTGTTTAGTAGATAGATAAAAAGTATTTTATAAAAACTAATATCCTTTTATGATTTAAAAAAACTTAACAAACTAGGAATAGAAGCAAACTTGGTTGATCTGATAAAAAGTATCTATAACAAAAGCGTACAGCAAACATGACACTGAATAGTAAAATATTAAAAGCTTTCCCCTGAGATAGGGAGTGAAACTAGCACAACTGGTATCATCTTTGTAGACAACACTGTACTGAAGGTCTCTAGCTAGTACAAAAGTCTATATAAATATACAAAAATGTATGGGTCAGAAAGGAAGAAATAAATTTGTTATTATTTATATTACAAGATTATAGTAATCCCAGCACTCTGGAAGGCCGAGCCAGGAGGACTGCTTAAGCTCAGGAGTTTGAGACCAGCCTGAGCAAGAGCAAGACCCTGTCTCTACTATAAATAGAAAGAAATTAGTCAAACAACTAAAAATAGAAAAAATTAGCCAGGCATGGTGGCGCATGCCTGTAGTCCCAGCTACTGAGGAGGCTGAGGCAGGAGGATCGCTTGAGTCCAGGAGTTTGAGGTTGCTGTGAGCCAGACTGACGCCATAGTACTCTAGCCTGGGTGACAGAGCAAGACTCTGTCTCAAAAAAAAAAAAAAAAAAAAAGATTATATATGGAGAAATTTCAAAAGAATCTATAGATAACCCGTAAGAGGTAATAGTTGAATTTAACAAGGTCACTAGAACCAAGGTCAATATACAAAAATCAATTCATTTTATTCCTATACCAGCCACAAATTAAAAATGAAATTAAATTATTTTCATTTATAACAGCATAAAAGTCAAATGCTTAGAATAGATATAATGAAGATATATAAGACTTCTACATAAAAAACTATAAAACACCGAGAACAATTTAAGACAATTTAAATAAAATAAAGGATACAAATGAATTGAAGAACTTAATATAATAAATATGTAAATTATCCTTAAGTTGATTCCTAGAATCAATGTAACCCAACTTAAAATGAGAGTAAGGATTTTTAAAGACATTAATAAGCTGATTGTAAAATTTATATGGCTACCCACATTTGATCACTACACATTTTCTGCTTATATCAAAATATTACATGTACCCTATAAATATGAACTATTATACATCCATAAAAATAAAATAAATGTATATGGAAAAGCAACGGGGCCAAGAACAGCCAACATAAACAAAGAAGCACAGAGAGAGTTGAAGGACTTATACTACTAACAACTTGTTATAAAGTTACAGTACTGAAGACAGTATGATATTTGAACAGAATAGAGAATCCAGAAGCAGACCTGCATATACATGGACACTTAATTTATGACAAAGATAACAAGAGCAATACAGAGTAGTAGAGAAAGAATGGCCTTTCAATAAATGGTTCTGGGTCAATTGGATATACATATGGAAAATATTCTAACAGAGTTGGGCAACATCTTCATACCATATACAAAAACAATTCCAAGTGAACTGTAGGTAGACGTAGATGTAACAGGCAAAATAATACAGTTTCTAAAAGAAATTATCTTGGAATGAGGAAAGATTTCTTAAATAGGACATATACACTAACCATAAAGAAAATATAAGTTGGGCTGTATTAAGAGCTTCTGTTTATTAACACATTAAGAGAACAGAAAAAAAAAATCACAGACTGGGGTAAGATATTTACCTATAGTCAACAAATGACTCGTTTCTATTTCTATTTTCTTTTTCTTTAACCCACAACCAAAGCTTATAAGCATTTCTAGAATGGTTTAAAGAACCTTTATAAATAAGACAAGAACTGAATGGTTTAAGGAACTCCCATAAATAAGAAAAGAAAAATTCAGTAGAAAAAATATGCAAAAAATTTGAACAATCACATCTCCAAAGAGAATATCCAAAAGGCCAGCCAGCATATGAAAAAGTGCTCAATCTCACTGATCAAAGGCCAATGCAAATTAAAACTATTCTGAGTTGAAATCTCATACATTGCTTGTAAGGATTAAACTGGCACAATCATTTTGGAAAATCGTTTGGTAGTATCAACTAAGTTTATCTTAAACAAACCCTATGACCCAGCAATTATACTTCTTTGGTCTAGACCCAAGAAATACATAAATACATTTCCTAAAAGATATGTACAAGAATCATGATTAGAAGCTTTTATTCATAATAGCCAAAAACTTGAAACAACTAAATGTCCTTCAACAGAATAAATTGTCATATATTCAGACAATGCCAATAAAATGAACAAATTACTGATACATGAAACAACATGAAGTTAAATCTCTCAAACACACGTGAACAAAAGCCTGAGAGAAGAGTTCACATTGTATGATTCAAATTTATATGAAGTTCAAAAACAGATTAAAGTTATTAATGACATGAGAAGTGAGGATAACTAACGTTTACATAGAAAAGGGTGATAACAGCTGGAAAGGGACAAGATAAGGGCTTCCAGGATGCTGTTGACACTGTATGTCTTGGCCTGAGAAGTGATTCCACAGGTGGTGTTTTCTTTGTGAATATTCATTTACCTATACAATTATAATCTGTGTAATTTTTCTGAATATGTACTGTGATTCCATTTAAAGAAATATTAAAGAAGAAGAGAGTGCAAAATGAGAGAATGGGAGGAAGAGAGATCGGTCTCTGGATTTGAGAGCAGCAGTGACTCTGGAAGCACACCCCCTGGTGGTAATACCAGGAAAGAAAAAGTGGTGGACCCTGGAGGGATCTCAAAATGAGGTTTCCAGCATCAGCAATGATTCCCAAACTGCAGGTGTGTACCAGCAAAACCAAAGAAAGCACATGGACTGGGGCAGTGAAGATTTCACCAGTGTGTATGGTTGGTTTATGACCTGAGTCCTCCTTCCCTCCCCACTCCCAGCCTCTCACCATCACATCACTTTTTTTTTTTAATTCAGCATATTATGGGGATACAAACGTTTAAGTTGTATGTGTTGCCTCCCCCCTCCCCGCATCCCCCCCAGAGCCAGAGCTTCAAGCGTGTCCATCCCCTAGATGGTGTGCATAGCACTCATTATGTACACACCACTTCTTTCTACTGGGAAAAATCCAAACTTGAAATGAGGAGATAGGATTTGTGCCAATAATGGCTGGAGTTACCCTTTCCAACAACCCAGCAGAATGGGGGCTTATGGCCAGAACTCAAGTTGAGTTTTAGAAAATAAAGAAAGATCTCTTATTCATCTAAATTTGAGCACTGAGATTCTTACCAGAAACACGGAAATAACAAATCTGCTTTTTTTGTTGTTGAAGAGCTTCCTCCTTCCCCCTCATCCTCTCTTTGCACAGTTCCTTTCCAATCATCACACTTGAATCTATCTGATATGCCTTAACCACTTCGGTACGGCACTCACCGGCCGGGAAACCTTGCCCACAGCTGGCACTCATGGTCCGCACGATAGTTTGTGCTGTGCATTGATGACGAATCTGTTTTGCTCTTGTGTGATGAGGAAAGCTTTAAAGCACTGAAAGCTTGTTTTACTTTACAGGCAGCTTTACTTGTAATGTAAATCAGAATAGGTAACATATACATATATGTTTTCATTATGTTATTTTTAAATGTTCACAATTTTATTTTGATAAATGAAAAATTAGAAAAGTCAAGTTTTGTTATTAATGCTAAAGTTGACACTCGGTTGTGTGCCTTCATATCACGGCTGTAGGCTATAGTCGACGCTCGTACGGAAGTGGTTAAGAATAGCCTTATGGATATAACCCAGGACTGACTCTATTCTCTTCTTCTTTAATACTTCTTTAAATTGAGGCATAATATATATTCTATATCCCCTAAATTTATTCTCATGTACTAAAATGAACATATATCAGGAACTCTGTCCTCCCCAAAAGACACGTTAACTAAGTTCACCAAACCTCTGTGTACTTTGTTGGCACGTCTGAAAGGTTTGCTGGTTTGTGTGTCATTCTCTGCAGAGTTGTTCATGTCAGCAAAGTTCTGGGACTTGATGCATTTGTTTGATGGAAACCTCTACCGCATGTTCTTTTAAGCACCTGAAAGAGAAAAATGCAGCATTTGTAGGTATCACTCCACATTGTTGTTATAATAATTATGGTGACTGGGTTCTGTTCCAGCTGCAGGATAAACTAAGAAATCATATGGGTGAAAGCTAAGGTCTACCAAGTCCTATGACCTCAAGTCTCAAGCACGTTGTTTGTGCTGCTTACAGTAGGAACTCTGTGAGAGTTCACTGTTGATATTACCTACAGCTTCCTGAATCTGTAGGTTTATAGTTTTCATTAAATTTTTAAAATATTCAGCCACTATTTTTCAAATATTCTTTCTGCCTTCTGCCCCCTAGGTCTTTCCTGGGAATACAATTATTTATATTAATATATTAGAGCACTTCATATTTTCCCCAAGGTCATTGAGATTCTGTTCAGTGTTTTTCTTATTTTAGTCTTTTTTTCCCTGTGATTACTTTGTTTTTTCTTTTTTTTTTTCATGTTCCTATGGATTCTGATCCCTGTGACTACTTTGGATAGTCTCTATTGTTATGTCTTCAAGTTCACTGATCTTCTGAAGTGTCTAAGCTGCTGCAAATCCCATCTATTGTATTTTTTTTGAAATATTATGTTTTTCATTTCTAGAAGTTACACTTGGGCCCATTTTCTATATCTTCCATTTCTAGCCTCATCACATTGATATTTTTTTCCTTACATCCTTGAGCATATTTGTAAGATTTATAATTGCTGCTTTAAGATCCTTTTCTACTATAATTCTATGATCTGTCATTTCAGGGACTATTCCTATTGGTTGATTTTCCTCTTGGATATGGATCGTGTTTTCTTATATCTTTTCATGTCTGGTAATTTTGTATTGGATACTGAACATTGTGAATTTTACATTGTTGAGAGCTAGATTTTGATATATTCCTGTAAAGAATGTTGCAATTTTTTTTCCTGGCACATTTTTCAGTAACTCATAGATCCATTTGATCCTTTCAGGTCCAGGGCAGCTTTTATTATGGGAATAATTTATCCCTACTACTAAGGCACGACACTTCTTCAGAGTCTCTCCAGTCCCTATCTAATATAGTGTCTCTTCATCCGGTTTATGGTAACATGAAATATTCCCAGTTCTGTGTAAGCCCCAGAAATTGTTCAGCCTACTGTTCTCATGAGTCTGTCCCCAGTCTTAGTTTCCTCTCATGCTTGAGAAGATCACTACTCAAAGACTTAAGGTGACCTTTCTTCAGATTTCTGAACTACTTCTGTACAGCACCCTCCTTTGCTGTTCTCTTTGTAAATTTCAGCCTCTTTGGCCTCCCTGAATTCTGATTTTAATCTCACCAACTCAGAAATCTGAAATTTGTTTGGATTCTTGCTTCCCTGCAATGTGGCCTGGAAACCGGCACTAAGTGGGGGCAATTATAGGATTCACCTTGTTTTACTTCCCTCAGGGACTACAGTACTACACTGCCTGTTACCCGATATCTAAAAAGAGTTGTTTAATATATTTGTCTATTTTTCAGTTAACAGCAGGAGCACAATTTAATTTCCATAGCAATTAATGCCTCATAAGCAGACTTCGGGTTCCTTTTGCCCATTTATTTTCCTAAAAAATTTACACAATTTATATAATAAATACTAATGAATGAAGGATTGAATACATGATTTAATGCCCTCCTAGTCCTTTCCCCTTCCCTGTTTGTTCCTTACTTTATTCTATCACTCTCATAGCAGCAATCCCCAACCTTTTTTGGTTGACAATATACACTAAAATTTAATATTTAATAGAATTATTGTCAACACGCTTCAAGAAATTGAGATTTCAAACCAGAAACAAATCAATAATGATCATTGCACAATCACCATTCAAGCTTAACAATGTCTTTTAGTGTCTATAAAAGCAGCCTCTATCCACTTACCACCCTTCAGTGCCATGTTGTTGTTTTAGTAAGAACCATCTACTGCCCTAGCTGCAATAAAGCTGTTATTAAAAATGAATGAGTGTTCTAGAATTATGAGTGATTAGAAAAAAATTAAGCTTCCTATTATACAGTAGTCCCCCATCTGTGGTTTCACTTTGTGCAGTTTGACTTACCCACAGTTGACCACAGTCTGAAAATATTAAATGGAAAATTCCAGAAATAATTCATAAGCTTCAAATTGTACAGTATTCTGAGTAGCATGATGAAATCTTATACTGTCCAGTCTGTCCCATCTGGGATGTAAAATCATCTTTTTCCAGTATATTCAGCTGTATATGCTTGAATATACACCTGTTAGTCACTTAGTAGCCACCATGGTTACTGTCAGGGTATCAAGGTGCTTGTAAGTAATCTCTACTTTACTTAATAATGGCCCCCAAAGCACAAGAGTAGCGATGCTGGCAATTTAAATATGCCAAAGACAAGCTGTAAAGTGTTTCCTTTAAGTGAAAGTTCTTAACTTAATAAGGAGAGGAAAAAAAAAGTATATGCTTAGATTGCTAAGATCTATAGTAAGAATGAATCTTTTATGCATGAAATTATGAAGAGGAAAAAAGATATTTGTGCTAGTTTTGCTGTCTCACTTCAAACTGCAAAAGTTATAGCCACAAAGCATGATAAGTGCTCAGTTGAGAAGGAAAAGACATTACATTTATGGGTGGAAAATAGAAACATGTTGTGATTGACAGCAATCAACTTTGGGACTATCTACGGTTTCAGGCATCCACTGGTTGTCTTGAAATGTATCCCCCTTAGATAAGGGGGGGACTACTGAAATAGCAATGTCTGCATAGTTGCAATTTTGAAAACAAGAAATTACAAAAAGTTTTAAAGTAATCCATAATCCTACCACCAAGAGGCAACACTTAATAATGCTTTCCAGTCTTCTTACATCATACCTGTGAAGTCAGAATGAGAGCAGGTGGTGGGAACTGAGGCCTTTGAAGTTCTTAACCCGGAAATACCCTGAGCAGAAAATACCCTGAGTTGCCAAAAAGTGCTTAACAACCGTTCCAGGAAAAAACTGCAAGATATTCCAGGCTTGCTGCCTGAGGCTGTTTGTAATTGATCAGCCCTAACCCCCCCCCCACTTCATTGTTTCTGTATGCTTATAAAACCAACAAAGGATCCAAGTAAAGCAGACCTTGACAACCCTTTGCTTGGTCTCGTTCCTTTCTCTCGCCCATCTCTTTCAGGCAAGGTCCCCCTTGACCCCCACGAGTAACAGAAGGTCCCGCGGGCCGGGACAAGCAGGTGCATCTCAGATGTGAACAGATCACTGCCCAAGTGTGCCTCACTGGTACCCTTGCTTGTACAACTGTTCATGACAGGATGGCATGAGCCTGAAATCTAAGAAAGGGCAGTGAAGGTACAGCACCTTCCTAATCACCAGCATTGTTTAAGCAACTCCCAGGTGGGGGCCACAGCAGTGGTCAGGAGTATCCAGTCCTGATTTTAAGGTTATGCCCTGCCTCCTGATGGTTCTGATTTTGGATAAATAACTTAACCTTTTGAGCTCATTTTCTCCTCCATAAACTGAGAATAACAGTACCTTCCTCTCAGGGTGCCTGTGAGTATTAATATGATGATCCACATGAAATAGTTAATGCTGCCTGGCCTACAGTAAGCTTTTATTAATGTTTTTAACATATGCACAGAGATATTCTATTAACAGCTTAAAATATTACAATAGCCATCATTTATTGAGACCTTACAACCCTAAATGCCTTGTATAGAATACTTCATGCAATCCATACAATAGCTCAGTGAGGTATTATACCATTTTACAGATGAGAAAACTAAGTTTAGAGGGAGGGGTTAAGTGACATGCCCAGAATCTCATCAAGAGTGGAATTAGGCTTTGAACCCGGGAAGTCTGACTTCTGCTCAGTCTGAATCTCTATAATAACCTCTCAGGCACACATTATATCTTAACATGCTAAATTTTGACATTTATCACCTCTGAGTGGGTATGGTTAGTTTTTTAAAATTAGGATATTACATTAGTTTCTACAATATAAAGCAAATATTTGACACTATTGAATTTTCACAGAACACTAAGGTTCCCAGAATACAGTTTGAAAACTCCTGAGGCAGTTCACTGTTGTACAGTTTCTGACTGCTAGAAAGTTCCTTCCTGTATCAAAGCTGATATTTCTAATTTTTCTCATTCCTTCTAATTCTAAGCCTGGAATCAACTCAAAAATAAGTCTGGTTCCTCTTCCACATTGGTGATTTTCAAAATGTGAATCATAGTCTATAGTCTCTTGTGAAATTTTAGTTTGTTATGTGCATGTGTGCATGTTGGGTCACAACATAAATGCATTTCTTACTATGGGTCACAAAATGTTTGAAAGCCACTGTTCAATATGACTATTCTTCAAGGATTTGAAGGCGGCTGTCATATCCTACCACCTAAATACTACTCCTCTACTCCACATTGGCTTCTGCAACACTTCCCTGTAGCATGGAGGTTCCTTCTACTCACTATATGGGGCATCATCTTCTGGTCCTGTCACTAGTTTCACCTGGGTCTCTATTCAAACCTTCTTGCGGATGACTTCCCTGACCACATGATCGGAGCTCTGACTAACCTGATCACTGAACCTTCAGCCTTTTTCTTGGCATATAATAGTTGCTCAATAAATATCTGTAGAATGTGTAATAAATAACTGGGGAATGAATACTGGAGGTAGACATATTTTAGCAAGAGTGTGTATAGAAGTGCTCTTAATACAATTCTTTCCTTTAGGAACTAGAGTCTGTAAGTATTTAACTCACATGATTACAACACAGGCATGCTTTCATTCTACCATCTGTGGTTTTTTTTTAAATGTTGTATATGCCATAGTATTATCATATATATTTATACATATTACTGTATATGGTACATCGATATATACTAACCCAGTACGCTGTTACTCTATGTGGAATTTTAAGGGGTTTGTATGAGTAGTTTTGAGAATAGGTGATTTTAATCAATTCAGTCATAATGCTATCAGACACCTTGGAAGCCGTTTACATTTTTCAAAGCACTCTGAGGTAAATAACCCATTAGATATTTTTCATAGGTTGAGAAAGTATGTCAGTGAACTGGAAGAAACTTAGCGGCTGGCTAGAGACCGCTAGATTCCCATCTCGCCCTTTCATTTTACAGATGGGTAAATCGAGGCCCAGCACAGGGAGGACGCTTGCCGAGGGACACCCGATGTGTTGGGGTGGACCTAGTCCTAGAGGTCAGCTCTTTGCCGTTCACCCACTCCGGCACCGGAGCCCCCAGCCGTTTGTGCACTCGTGGGGGCTGAGCAGAGGGCTCAGACGCCCACTCCACTCACAGTAGCTCCGCGGAGAAGGCACGCCATGCGGGAGCACCGAGCATGAGGGGCACCTCCCACAGTGGCTTCTTCCCGCCCGCGGGACACCACCTAGCTCCGCCCGGGAACTCCGCACGCACCCGCAGGCCGGGGGTCTCGGTGGGCAGCCCATGGGGTGCGCCGCGTCCTCCTCCCACGACCTCGGGGACCGGTTCCCCCACCAGAACTGCCTCCTACCTCGTCTAGTCCCGAGGGCTGAATCCACCCGCCCAGCCTCCCTGTCGCTATGGCAACCACAGGCCTCACATTCCAGCGTCCACCTTACGTCCGCCGCTGAGTAACTCTAGCCAATGACATCCTCTGTTTCTCTAGCGTGAAAAGTTGTGGACCAATCCTTGGAGGCGTTTCAAAGCCCGCCAGGAAGCTACCAGAATTTTAGGGTTCAGGTTAATTACGTCAGTACCCGTGGGGAGAACTAGTAGAGATTTGTTTAGGCGACTCCTCAAAAATCTTGTGAAAGACCAAAGCCATGTAATTTTGCCCACTGAAAACTCTTACTCTGAGAAAAAAAACTTAAGAGAATTGACGTTTATCCAAGCCCTATTTATAATAGCGGCTGAAAACAAGATTGATAATGGACAACTATCCAAGGGCAGCCACGTAGTATTACTTGAGCTTCCCCTGCACGCTCCAGGGCTGTCACAGTGACCTTGTCACTCCCCTGCTTAAAGCCCTCCAATGGCTCCCCTTTAAACTTGGGATTACACCCCCAAATATTATAAGCCATTGCTAGCCCGCTGGCCTTTGGGCAGTTCCTACAATGTGCCAACTCGGGCCTTTCTCGAGTGTTCCCTGTGAGTTCCCTCCGCCCCAGGACCTGAACCCATAAGCACCTCCCTCTCCTTGTTGAGGCCTCAGCCCACAGGACGTTTTATCATCTGTAAAGCCGGCATGACTCCAGGTCTCACTCCTTGCTGTGAGGCTCTGAAAGGAAGTGGGTGCACGTGAAAATGATAAAAAGCTTGTTGTCATCTGTAAAGCTCCAAACACACGTTAATTATGACAGCTGTCCGTTATGGAAGGACGTTCAGTAGTGCTGGGAGGTTTGGCCAACAGGTGTTCCGGGAGGGCCGGAAAGGTATGGCCGCGAGTACTCGCCTGGAATTTGTGGTGAAATGGGTCTGAAGGCCGTTTAGGACTTGAATATGTGGTGCCAGCGTGCGGTGGGTGGAAGGCAGGAGCAAAGCCCAGGAGGCGGCTATGAGGATAAGGAGGGAGGACGCTGGCAGGCGCTGAAGCCGAGCCCACCTGTCGGGCAGGTGGAGGTAAGCAATCACCTGAGCTCTCTAGGACAGCCTGAGAGGGGGAGGGGGTCTTGCTGCAAGGTTCCTCCTGTGGCCGCTAGAGGGGACCCCTCCAGGTGAGCGCCCGCTCTGTCCCCAGGTTGCTCCCCTGCGCTGCAAGCAAGCTTTGCGCCGCGGCCCGAAGCCGGAGACTGTCCCGCCCACTCCCTCCTCGCAGCCACCCGCCTGCGCGAAATGCCTACAAGCTTCTGACTGGCAGGCGGCCTGGCAAATCAAATCGCGGCCTTTGAAAGCAAAACACTGCAGCACCCTGGCAGCCCCGAGTTGGGAAGGAATTAAGGAGGCTGTGCCTCCGGGTTGCGCAGGCAGCCCCCTTCATTTCTCGGAAACCTCTGATAAGTGAACCTCAGAGGAGACGCCGCCGGTGAGTAGTAATTAAGACTGGGGGAAATTTAGCCTTCGGGTTTTTTTTGTTTTTTGTTTTTTTCAGGAAGAGCGATTGCGTTTGTAATCATCTGATGTCCCCTAGCATGAATACCCTACCTTCTTGTTGTCACCAGCCTTGTTAGTTTGGATCCCGTTGCCCCAGAACGTTCGTTCCATTTTTGCATCGAGGGTGAGAGGAGAGGGGCCGTGGGATTGCCTTAATAAAGGTGATGCCCGGCTTTACCGAACCAGGAAGTGAAATGGAGCCACTTTGCCAAAATTCTCTGCATGCCGGTTCGGGTTTCCTGGCAATAGCAGGTGGTGGAGTTAGCAGGTGGGATGAGGGGATGCATTCTTGGTCTGCTCTGGCTGCTAGAACACAGGTGCTGTCTCCTCCAGTGTAGTGTTTCCAACTCAAGGGGAGAGGACGGAAGTGTGTAACCCTTTCGTGAGCCAAAGCCCAGAAACAGAAAGACTGGCGTGTGACAGGCACTCAACGCTAGAAGCGGAATCGTCAAGTGGTGGGAAAGAGCATGTTTTTGTTGTTGTTATTCAGGTAGAGCTAAATTCTAAAACAGACCCTACCCTTAGTGGCCATAAGCCACGGTTCTCTCATCTGAAAAACATGCCTTGTGGGACTGGTGAAATAATTAATGGAGAAACGGGTGGGGATGGGAGTGGAAGCAAGCATCTAATGAATTCTCCTTTCTTGGATCAGTGACCATGTCTCTAGCTGTGGAGTGGCTGGCAACACAGAGTTGACTACTTGCCTCTTGGACATAAGTTAGTCCTGGAAAAGTGCTTTGAAATCAGGAAATTCTTTGTCCCTAGACAAAGAATGTGTGCCTTTTAAGGGAGCACAACTTGCAAAGGGTTCATCCGAGCCTTTCAGTCCAAACTCCCACCCAGCTAAGGGAGAGCCTTCTATCTTTGCAGCCAGGCCTCAGTGGCCTGGGGTTCCAGAGGCAGATGGGGAAACTGCTTTTCAAAGCTCATTAGACCACAGCAGTGCTAACCACCACAAACAAAAACAAAACCAGAAAACCACCTGGACAAACCAGCTGGTCTAAAGGAGATCAGGAGGCCTGGATAACCCCCATCCCCTTGGCATGTTCCCAAGGCCTGTTTGTTTTCTCTGACCTTCTGAGGGTGGGGCTGGGCATATGTTTGTTGTAGCTCTGGAGCTGTGGTTGGTGAGGCCTGTGTAAGGCATTCTTAACTGTGAAGTGGCCACAGCGCACCTGGTGCCTCACGGGCCTGCATTTAGTCGGTAGGGAAGTATGGAAGTCACCGTGCTGGGCTCTGGGGTAGAGATCAGGAGGGAATGATAGAAGAGGGGATTCAGCAAACACCTCACTGGAGTTCAATTATGTATCGAAAGCTTCCTAGGGCCTCTTAGAGGTAGAAAGAGCCCTGGGCCACTCTTAAGGCTCTCATTATATTAAAAATGCTGAAACTGGGATACAGAAATTTAACACAGATAATGCTTTTCACACACAAAAAAAAGCATAGTGAAAGATAATTGTGGCTTACCTGATGTGAGTTACCTGATGAGTGCACGTGTCTCATATGTGTATACTGAATGTACAACCCCATCTGGAGGTAGCAGCAATCATTTAGTTTTTTGAGATACTTTGACAAAGTGAAACCTGGGCCAAATGGTCTCCATAGATGCCCCTGTGCTAAGCCTGCATCTGGTGTCTCTTAGTGGTGGACATGGTGTTTGCCCTGGAACACATGCATGTGCTGTTCATACCAGAACCAGAATTCCTGGGCCTAGGGCCTGATAGCAGAAGGAACTGGAAGCTACAGGACAGGCAGAAGGTAGCTTTCTGAAGCCTCAGGGCATGACAGAGACTGTGTCTGTTTGGCATACAGTGAGCCTTCCATAAATATTTGTTGAATGAATGAATAAGAGAAAGGAATATGCATGAGTAAATTAAATAAGTGAAAATACAATTAATACTAATAAGACCTGACATTCATTGACACTCATTTGCTGTGCCCACATTTTGCATACATTATTTCATCTAATTCTGACAATAACCCTGTGCTGTATAAACATTATTATTTGTATTTTACAGCTGGGGGAACTGGCTGAAAAGTTAAATGACCTAGCCAACGTGAAGTAGATGCCAGATCATGGCAGATCAAACGCAATTTAAAACATTTTTATCTTAAAATAAATATAGACTATACATTAGAATGCATTTTTGTTGTTGTTGTTTTATTATAAGAAGACCTCAAAGAACCCCTTAGCACTTATGGTAGAGTTTTGACCACGCCTCCTAGAACAGAAGGGACCTACTTTCTCTTTCTTTTTTTCTATTTGGTAGGAAATGTTTGAGAATCACTGAAAACATAAGTCCAATGAAGTTAACAGGGATTATCATCATTGCTGGTTTTGATGCCACATTATTAACCTCACTTCACAGATGAGGCAGCTGAATCTCTGAGGGACAAAATGATCTGGTCACACAAGTTTTCCACCACCCTGTGTCACCTCACCTGTGTCAGGCTGACCCTCAATGGCAGGCCAGTTCTTCTATCTTCCATGGAAATAACTTTTCTTCTCATTTTTTCCTTCCTAAGTTGAAACCCAGTGGTTCCTTTTTTATGGTAGTGGGGGTTTTGTTTTGTTTTGGAGACCTGGAGAAGTAGACTTAGGTAGTATTCTACTTTTTGTGTCCTAGAACCCATGGAAAAAAGGAGGATTTAAATTAGGGAATGATGGGAGCAAGGAAGCAGAGTGGGAGAGGAAAGGGTGTGGCTAAGGGCCAGGGAGGGAGCTTTTGAAGTTAATGAGTCATATGTTTATTAAGGGGGCCAAAGGCATGATAGAATTTTTTAGATAGCCTCACTTCTCATGGCTAGTTGTGGCTAGTTTATCCTAATAGTATTCTCTTCTTGGGTAATAAAGCTGGGCTCCCTGTTTCACTGTTCATGCATTTTTAATGTTCCTCTCCACCATCCTAGAGCCACCAGAATCGGAAAGCCCACCCCCTGTCTGCCTGCTTGGGAGAGACACAGAAGTTGGCACTTCTGTGTGAAGCTGAGGAGAAGGCCGTAAATCAGCAGGAAGAGTCTCGAAGTGCTCCTTCAGCGTGAGGGAGCAGAGATGGCTGCTGGAGGGAGGTGAACCCCACGAGGGACGATGGCTTCTGGCCTGGGTCCCGCTTAGCAGCATCTCCAGTTCTCCTCCGCCCCGCAGGGATGTGCCACTAGGCCACCATGGACGGAGCCCACAGTGCCACCCTGCAGCTGCAGCAGCTCCCGCCCACCAGCAGCGACAGCTCCATGAGCGAGGGCTCCTTCTCCTACAAGGCAAGGGCTTTTTTTTTGGTTTGGGAATTTCATATTTTTCTAACAAGAATGTAACACACTGCCACATTGGCTAACAGATATGCCCGGAGTACGTGTGCCTTTCGCTGGCAGAAACGGGCAGGCCCTCCACACGTACAGGGACATATGTGATCAAAAGAAAAGAAGTGCTTGTTAAAATATATAAAAGTGGGAGATTCCATTTTTTAATTGATCACTTAGAAGATTCAATTCTTTGAAAATCACCTACTCCATTACTGGAGACAATCTCTGTTCATATTTCAGCGTATCTCTTTCTTGTCCTTTTCTGATGTTACAAATGTGAGGTCATGTTATACGTAAAGTTTTGTATCTTGGTTGTTTCCCTTAACCTGACTTGTGGAATATTTCCTCATGTCATTGAGCAGTGATTGGAAGCATGCTTTTGGAATGATTGCCCAATCTCCTGCTGCACTGCTGTATCAAAATTTGTTCAACAGGTCCCTCATTGGATATTCAGGTTGTTTCTAATCTGAGGTGGCTGTAATCAGTGACATCCCAGAGTGCAAATCTTTGTGCTCATCTCTGACAATTTCCTTAGATATTGTCATATGGGCATAATGAACAGGTCAAAGGGAATGAACCTTTTTAAAAATAGGGGTTTTAATGTCTAATTGTTTCTAAATACCTATCAATGTACCATCTGAAGCCTTGGATTTATTGCAGATCCTTTTTATGGCGCAATCAGAGACTGCTAATATCCTAGCGTTGAAGGAGATTTTAGAGGTCATCTCATGAAACCCTCTCATTTTATGAATTGGGAAAGTGAGGTTGAGAGATGAGAAGAGACATACTTAAGATCATGGAGCAAGTTGAGAGGCAGAGCTAAAACTATTACTCATTCTAGATAATAATTATGATAACAACAATGACTAATATTTCTCAAGCATTTATTCAATCCCAGCTACCGTGTTAAGTTCTTCACATGCCTTTTCTCAGATAACCTTCACAGTAGCACTCTAAAGGGGGTATAGATTTCCCCATCTGCAAAATAGGATAATCATAATACCTGCCTCCTAGTGGTTGTGAGGATTAAATGACTTCATCCGCATGAAGCACTTAGAACAATGACTCACACATAATGGCCAGTGTTCCTCAAGCGCTTTGCCATTCCCATCTTTATCCCCACTGTAAAAATGAGGAAACTGAGGCACAGAGAGGTCCTGTGATGGCTAGTAAGTTGTGCAACCAGAATTTACACATTGCCTGTGGGACCCATGTTCCTAACCACTGCCCTGCCCTGCCTCCCCCTGTGCAGGTGCTTCAGCCTGTGCTCACCCTGCTACACCACACCCCACTGGGGATAATTAAACAGCTTTTATCATTTAATTTCCATCTAACCAGGCAGGCAGACTAAACATGTATGGAAATTGTGAAAATTTGTCTGGAATTAGACTCGTACTAGAGCAAGGATTGACTCTGACGTTCACAGAAGACTCTGCCTTACCAGGGAGGACCTGGCAGCTCATGTCCAAAGTCAGATCAGTTTCTGGGACAAGATGACATGTTCTCATTATTAGCATCTTGCTCCTTGATCTTCTGTCCATTTCCCCTCCCTGCGTGGCTACTATATTCTGCTAGGGCTGTGATAGGAGGAGTATCAGACAAAAGAATTGGGAAACCTGGGTTCTTGGCCCAGCTCTGTCACCCCTGGCTGTGTGATCTTGGGTGAGTCTCATTCCTTCTCTCTGCCTCCCTTTCTGTCTCTGTAAAATGAAGGGGTAGAGTTCATGGATGGTCCCCAATCCTAACTTATCTCCCAAGATACCTGGGGAGCTCTGAAATATACAGAATTCTAGGCCTTGGGCTCATCTCTCCCTGCCTTCACCCTTTAACCCCTTCATCTCAACTCCCTTGCAAATTGTGAGTTAGCACATCTAGGCGAGACACCAGACTCTGCATTTCATAAAACCTCTTCAGGTAATCAGACAACCAGCCAGGTGTGGGAATTTCTAGACCAGATGATCTGCTAAGTTTCCCTCTCCACCCCCAACTCTATCATCCTGAGAAATCAAGATCTCAGGCCACCACGTCTTAGTCATCACTGATATTCAAAGTGAGCAAAACAAAGTCTTCTCAAGCAGGCATTGTTTATAGGTGCCCTTGTGCCTCACAGTGCCTTATTCAACATAGAGCAGGGTTTTAAGTCAGAAAACATTTTTCTTAATTAGCTGTTTTATCGAAGTACAGCATACGTACAGAAAAGTGTACAAATCATAAGCACTCAGATGTTCAATTTTAATTACGAGAGTACACACACGTAACTAGTACCCAAATCAAGAAACAGAGCGTCACTAGTACCCCAGAGTCTCCTCCTGTCCCCTGCTAGCCATTTCCCTCCCCTCAGGGGTAACCAGCCTCCTGTCAAGTCAGAAAACACATTGATAGTGGCACAGTCCTGACTTTGGAGGAGTTTCAGGAGCCCTTGGTCAGCCTGAGTGAGCAACACCAGGGCCTTACAGCTTCAAGGTGCTGAGTGCTTTCATTCTGTGAAGCAACCAGAACATTCCATTCTGCTCTTTGATATTCAGAGTCTACAGCATTTATGATGTCATAATAGAAGCTGTTCTCTTTGAATTGTGCCCAAGTCTTAATTTATGGAGATGACCGAGTGACAGCATATGTGGCTAAGGCCATTGAAGGAGACTTTATTACCTACATTTCCTGAGAGAGTGGGGCACGCCATGCCACCAGTGGCCACACTCGTAGCACCAAGGTTGATCGGGCCGGAGGCAGAGGAAGTGAGAGGAGAGCCTAGACCAGAGCCTTTTATTGTGTTTTCCATGGGAAGGGCAAGGAAGGACAAGGCACACAGTTCAGGATTGACTCGTTTGAATAATTCTGGATTGTCTGATACCTCGAGAGTTTGATGAAGGAGATGGTTGGACGTGTAGGCTCTGGATTGGTCTGTTAGCATGTGGCAGGTGTGCTCCTTTGCTGTTTCTAAGAATTGCCCCTGGGAGGGGCAGTTTCTCCCCATTCAGTGAGGCCACAGATACCAGAGCATAGAGAATACAAAACATAAGAAGATATGGGTAATACAATTGGCCCTGTGATGAATGGATGCCAAATAGACAAATATAAAATCTAAGAAAACACAGAATACCCTCCCTGATGAGATTTCTAGTAAGTTTCTATTGAAATCACAAATTCAATTCAGTTGCATAGTATGGAATATCTTCATGCCAGAGCAAAAATATAAATAAGTCATGGTGACTCTCCCAAGGAGCATAAGAATTGAGGCTGGGGACAAGCATGTGAACACATGACTGTGGGCTGGCCAAAGCTGGTAAAGAGAAGACGACCTGGGTCCAATCCCTACTTTGCTGCTCTGTAGCTAAGTGACCTGGGACATAGGACTTAGCCACCCAGAGCTCCTGCTGCCTCGTCTGTAGAACGGTGGTAGTAAAACTTCTCCCCCTCCCACGGCTGTGTGAATCAGTGAAAAGCCTGCCCATGTGCCAGGCGTGCAGGAGGCTCTTGACTCAGAAATGCCACGGGCTTACCAGGAGGAACAGATGAAGTTTCACCTAGTAGCGGGGGAGATGTGGTTAGTTCTGCCTCGGGATGGGGAGAAGGATTTCTGAGGGGAAGCTGCCTCTGTCCCCTTTGATTTTCTTAAGGCTATTTTGGTTGCAAGGAATAAAAACTGGTTTTAGAGAAGCTGAGGTAAAAGGGGAAGTTATTATAAAGCTACAGGCTAGCTCATGAAACCCAGGAGCAGGGAGGGCAGTGGGGCTTGGAGGGTGCTGGAACTCATACCACCTTAAAAGAGAGAAGGCTTGAGTGGCCCAGCATGGGTCAGGTGTCTACATGGTCCAGTTGTTGATGGCCAGGGGTGGGGCAACCAGCAAACACAGTTTCTGGGGCTCTACTATTATGGGCAGCTCTCAGAGGAAAGTGGTCATGTGGGCTGGGCAGGCTGCCCCCAAATCATCTCTTATCTTTGGGACAAGGGAAATATTGGGAGACCCAAGGTCTGGCTTAATCAGCAGGATGAAGTCAGGAGCGAGCAGTTTGCCTTTGACTTGCAGCCTGCCCTGTGCCCCAGCCAGCAAGGTATGAATTCTGGTTGTCGGGGAGGGCTCTCTGCTAAAGAGAGACCCACAGGCTGAGCTGCCCAGGAGGCAGCTCCCAGCAGGACCCTGACACTGTGGAAGCTTTGCCTCAGCCTGGAAGAGTCAGGCCTCAGTTTCTTCTATGTAGCAAAGAAGTATTTTATTGCAGAACATGCAATATCCATGCTTGTGCTGGGTGGGGTGGGAGCTATATAGATAGTTTATACATATCTTCCCTAGCTTACAGAGTAGGAGGGAGGCAGAGAAGATACATTCTACAGTGTCTACCCCTTAAGACAGAATTTGGTGCAAAAATAGAAATACTTCATGGAATATCTTCATGCCAGAGCAAAGAGACAAGTCATGGTGACTCTCCCAAGGAGCATAAAAATTGAGGTGGTATGAGTTCCAGCACCCTCCAGCGCCACTGCCTTCCCTGCTCCTGGGTTTCATGAGCTACCCTGTAGCCTTGTAATAATTTCCCCTTTTACTTCAGCTTCTCTAAAATGAGTTTTTATTCCTTGCAACCCAAATAGCCTTAAGAAAATCAAAGAGGTCAGAGACAGCTTCCCCTCTTCATGCTTTGGAATCAGAGAGACCTGTCCTCAAACCCTGGCTCTGTTTCTTTCTAGCATTATAACTTGGGGAAAGTTGTGTAACCCCTCTGCAGGTCAGTTTTAAATCCATCCGACAGGGTAGTTATGAGGATGGCCTGAATTTACAGGTGAGAAACCTGAAGCTACCTGAACCATCCCGTTTCTGTTTGTGGAAATCCTACCCAACCTTCCAGCTCAGGTGTCAGCTTTTCCATGAAACCTTTGTCAGTCTTCCTGGCAATAAAATATAGACCCTTTACCTACACTTCCATAGCCAATTAACAATTACTATAGTAATTAATAATAATAATAGAAGCTAACATATATTGAGTGTTTCCTATATGACAGAAACTGTGTTAATCCTCACCAAAGCCGCATGAGGACGGTACGATTATAATCCCACTTTAGATGTGAAGAAACTGCCACAGAGAGGTTAATGAACTTGCCCAAGGACACACAGTCAATATGTAGTAAAGCTAGGATTCCAATTAAGTCTATACACTGCCTAGGTTTTTGACTGTATGCCTGTGTTGCTGCCTAGGTTGTGCCAAGCACTCTGAGGCCCTTTCTGCTCCCTGACACTAGTTATTAAATGTGGAAATGACAATCTGTGGGGCAGGTATTGCCTCACCTGCAGGAGAAGGTGAGTGTCGGGGAGCTGGCCTGAAGCCAGCTTACAGGTGTAGCAGAGCCCGGCCAGCCAGACTGATGCATCCCTTACACTGTGAATGCCAGCCACCCTCTAAGCAAGCCAGGATGCAGGAATCTGTGCTTACGTGTTTGCAGTCCGGAGCCCAGGGGATTGTGGGAGGCCAGTTTAAATAGCAGGTGATAACAGGTCTTGGCACCGTGGTGTTTAAATAGAGGCTATTGTCGGCAGATGTCAAGCAGACTTTGGGAATGGCAGCTCTGAGCTGAGGTTTCACTTGGATACCAACATTCACCAGGGTTTCTTGCCTCTGACCTCTGGCTGCTTTTCTGGGCACACTTTTATTTTCTTTCAGAGTTGTAGGTGGTCAAAGATCACTTCTTGGATCAGAGACAGAAGGGCCGTTAGAGCTGTTGCTAGTAGTAATGATGATCATAAAAATGAACCATAGTAGGCCGGCGTGGTAGCTCACGCCTATAATCCTAGCACTTTGAGAGGCTGACGCGGGAGGACTGCTTGACCAGAGTTCAAGACCAGCCTGAGCAAGAGTGAGACCCTGTCTTTACAAAAAAACAGAAAAATTCGAAGGACGTGTTGGCACACACCTGTGGTCCCAGCTGCTTAGGAGGCTGAGGAAGGAGGATCACTTGAGTCCAGGAGTTTGAGGTTGCTGTGAGGTAGGCTGACGCCACAGCACTCACTCAGGGCAACAGAGTGAGACTCTGTCTCAAAAAAACAAAAACAAAGCATAATATCAGCTAGAATTGTTCAGAGTGTATTGCCTGTCTGATGACATTTCACCCTGTGCTTTATTTCATATGTCAGTAACACAGTCCTCGTGGGTTTACAGTCAGCTTCATTTTCAGATGTGGAAGCTGAGGCTCAGAGTTAGGCTGATTCCCAGAAGTCACGCAGCAGTAAGTGGCAGAGCCAGGACCCCAGCCTAGGTCTGCTGTCCTCAGAGCCCACACTGGGAATCCGAAGCAGAGAGAGGTGTGCTTTGGGGTTCGCCCCCCACCCTTTGATATCTGGGCCTGTGGGATCCATGACCACCCTGAGCCGAGTCTGGACTCCTGCTGCCTGCACCTAGCTTTCCGTCAGCCCACCTCCCTCGCCTGTGACACTCCCCATTCAGGGACAGCACCGTGAGTAGAGCAGCCATAGTTACGGTTTGTGGCTGTGTCCATGTATGTTAAGAGTCCCCTTTCATTCTCAAAGTGTCCCCATTTGTATGATATATGGTTGCGCTAATTATAAGGCCCCTGATAGTTGGGAGGCCTCCTACTTCCTCATCCGTTAAATACTGGGACCAGCGTGGTATGGGGAAACCTGTTTTTGGTGCTGGCCCTGCCACCCTCAAGTTCTGTGACTTTGGCAGAGTCTTTGGCGTTCTTGGTTAGCAGGTCTCCACCGGGAACAGCGCCATTGAGGTGTTTGCCTCCCTTCTCCTGTCCCTATTGCCTGAGTTGACGGTTCAGACTGAGACCTGGCCTGTGCCCCCTGGATTCTGGAACAGGTGGGAACCTGCTCAAGTGTCACCTCAGAAGAATCAGCCTGATCTGGCAGTGCAGGGGGAGTAACTTATGGACCAGAGAGGCCACAGGTAAAGACTCTGGCCTGAGGTCAACACAAGACAGTCCCCACACCTGCCCCTCAGCTGGGAACCATGTGTTCCAGTCTGCACCTTTTCTCTGCTTAAGGGACAGAGTCACTGATTCCGAGGTGTGATCCCCGTTCTGGGTTAACTGTGCATGTGGACTTACGAACATACCACCTTTTATAACCCCCGAGAAAACACCCAGGGTGGTTCTACATTAAAAAGAGGAGCATGGTGACTTCAGCGAGGTCTGGAGGTGGGAGCGGGCCAGGCACTGCTCTTCCCCCTCCCCCCCACCCCCGCAGCAGAACTAGACACCCCATCTACAGTCCTCAGGCATTAAGGTCGGAGGAGCAGGTTGTCAGGAGCGCTCACCTCTGGATCGCCCAGGGCCAGACACTGGAGGCGCCTAATAGGTGTGTGTTCAACTGTGTAACCCTGGCCAGTGGCAGCTGCTTTGCCTGACTTTAAATGCTCAGGAAATTGGGCCAGTCACCACTTTACGAGGGCTTGGGGGCATAATTAGTGTTGATGAAGCCCTTTGAAACGCTTAGATGGCAGGGCATGAGTTACATCATGCTGTTACCAATCACGTCTGTGTGTAACCTGTTATTATATGTCGAGTTTAATGTGCTTGTGGAAGTGGCTTTTGAAAGAGACCTCGGCTGCCTGTGTTGTTAGTGGGAGCACTTACAAGGCGGTGGTGTTTTTTTCCTAATTGACTTTGTCATCTTTGAAGGGACCTTACAGAGCACAATGGAGCAGTCTGAAGAGTGACTAGCTCTAGGAGGCCAGAAGTCAGACTTGTAGCTTCAAATCCTCTGTCTGTACCTTCGGCAGGTTATTTCAGTTCTCTGAGCCTTACTTTGTCCGTCTATAAAATCCTTCCAACTTAGGTGCCGCCCACCCCACAGGGTCATTTGCAGCCCTAAGAAGAGGAAGCGTGTGTCTGTCAACATCAGCCTTTATCATCATAGTAACTGTTGGGGCTCTGAAAATGATACCCCAAAACAAAAGCCTCGAA